CAGTATCTGACAGTCTCGGCAGCCAAAGGCCCAGGGGGCAAAGCGGCTCGCTTGGTGCTACCTGTCAGCCACCTCATGGATGCAGGGGACCTGTGCCTGTCATTTAGGCACAAGGTGACTGGGCTGCACTCTAGCACGCTCCAGGTGTTTCTGAGAAAACATGGAGCCCACGGAGCAGCCCTGTGGGGAAGAAATGGTGGCCATGGCTGGAGGCAAACACAGATCACCCTGCGAGGGGCTGACATCAAGAGCGTAAGTAGAACCACAAAGGAGGCAGGCGTGGGAGGCTTTCCTTCCATAGGAGAACTCTGGGGTCTGAGCTGCAAGAAGCCTTGGTCTCTGCGTTAACTCAGGCTTAAAGGTTTGTGTTTTTTTCTGGGCATGACAACTCCATTCCTTGCCTATGTCTATCCCCACTTTTTGCTGCTTCATGCATTCTTTAGTACTAATCTCCCTACCTTGGGGTAGATCCCCTATTTTTTAGTGAAAAAAAAAATTAGGAATTGAAAAAGTAACAAAGTTAATTGAGAAACTTAAAGGACAGAAGGTGGTGAGCTTAACAGTTCCTGCTTTTCCTTTCATTCTTTATTCTTCAAACTTTGACCACCATGACTTACCCTAAAGTGTTTCGTTTTTTGTTTTTTTTTTAATGTTTCTTTAAAGTCCATTTTTTTCCCCCTTTCCCTCAGAGATCATAGTTAAGTAGCCTTGGGTGGGAACCCAGGACAATATGTTTGGAAAGTACTATTCTTTTCAGGACAGGATGTAGGAAGCTTTGATTGAATAAATAAATTTTATCTTACATAATCAAGTCACCGGTAGCAATAACAGCTCACTGAAATAATGAATTATTTGGAAAAAGTGCCTCTTTCATGTTGATGCTTATAAAACTTTTGCTGTTAAGAGATTCTGCATCTATACCTATACTTTCTAGAAACTAAAAAAAGGATAGACTCCATTAATACAGCTTTTATCGGAGGCTTGAGTTGTATTTTATTGATTTTTTTTCTTTAAAATTTTCTTAATATTTATATTTTTAGAAAAGTAAAACAAGATAATTAATCATTTCATATCACAGTGTAGGGAGGGTTTTTGTTTTTAGAAGGAGCAAGAATGCTATATGCAAAGTAAAATACAAGAATAGTGAAAGTTCTTGGTCTTTCTGTAATTAAAACAACACTGATTGGGTGATGGTGTTGGATTCTATTCCATTTTGCAGCAAAGCTATTGTATATGAACCCAATGGAGGAACTAGGAAACATCAGAGACAGGCTGCATGACTGTGATCTTTTAGATCTGTGGCTCTCAACTATTGCATCTCTATATTCCATCACACTGTTTTTACTTCTGACCTTGGTAATCTTTGACGAAAAGTGTCCACTTCATAAGCATTTCTAAATTGAAGTAGTCTACAGCTTAGAATGGCTCTTTAAAGGATAACTGACTCTGCGTTATGGGGTCTGATTAACAGTTT